TGAATTATGGAGGTCAACCTTAAAGTCTAAAGGCTTTCATTTCAGTAGATATAACTCTGAATACATAGAGTGCAATTTTAGTAGTAATAAATCTAGGATGGGATTGTGCCTTTAGGTGATCAAGTCATTAAAAACAGTGCACGTTTTAGATTTCTCGGTCTATTGTTCAAAATGATGGTGAAATAAATAGGGATATTATTAGGAGAATTCAAGCTGGATGGTTGAAGTACAAGAATGCAACGAGATGTTGTGTGATAGAAAAGTACCCCTCAAACAAGGGAAAACTTTACAAGAGGGTGGTGAGACCAGTAATGCTTTATGGTGCGGAATATTGGCCATTAAAAGAGAAGCATAAAATTAAGTTTAGCATTGTAGAGAAGAGGATGTTCAGTTGGATGAGTGGCTTTACACTTAGAGATAAAATGTGAAATGAGTATATGTGTGAAAAGGTTCGAATAGCTCTACTAGAAAAATAAGATTAGAGAGAGTCTCCTTAGATGGTTTGGTCACATAAAGCGTCGTCAGCCTTTCAATGACCTGATTTGGAGAGTAGATATTTTAGATCCAACCTATGTTAAGAAAAGTAAAGGCAGACTGATGCAGGACTACTTAGATGACATGCTTATGGCTTCATTTTAGGCATTGCACAACTCTTTGATTAGAGTAATTTTGGATTAAAATTATTAACAATTCTCAACGTCGATTAAAACAAATAAAGAGATGCTTTGCGTAGGCTAAATCACATGCTCCAAGCTTTGAAATTTTCAAGATAAATAAGACAATTGAAACAATGCAAAATAGTAGTCTTCAATTTAATCCCTAGTCTAACAACAAGATTTAGGATGCAAAGAAAGTACACTCAATAACCTACGAATTACTAAGCTTAGCAAAAGCACTTGGAGGAGACTTTCGCGATTACAATCTAACCAATTGAGAACTTAGATTCAGAAGAATTTGAATGCAAGTGAAAAAGAGAAAACCTTTGCTAAGGGGAGGTGGCGGTCCTCTACTCGATACCTTCGAAGTCTTCGTCCATGGCTTCCGTCAAAGCAAATAAGAGGCGTCTCTCGAATAGTCACAAAGAGAAAGAAGTTTCCATTGATAGACGAGAGGATGCAAGCTCCACACCTTTTCTCATAAAATCTGAAAGAAAAAAAGTTTCAGATTCAACCAGGAAAATCTGAGAGGATTTCTCAGATTTTATTGGGCTAGGATGTAGAGAACTTGGAGGAGAGCCTAGCCTTAGTTATGACTAGAGAGCTGAGAGCAAACCTCCTTTACAGGTTTTGGAAGAGAGAATTTATTCCATGCAATTAGGAGAGATGAGGGGCGGTGACAGGGAGAGGGATTTGGCGGACTAGAGGGGGAGAGGGGCCTTGTTTCCTAAATCAAAATTCTAGTATTAGGAATTAAACCAAGGCAGGAAGGAAAATTCGGCTATGAAAGAGGGGGGATGGGTGTAGGAGGCGGTAATGCAGAAAAGAGAAAAGGGAGGAATTAATTTATTTTCAAAAGTGAAATTATCACTCAGGCAATAAATTAATCAATACAGGTGAGGGGAATTTCGGTCAAACAGGAATTAAAGTGATTTCAAATTATTTCCTAAGTATGGTGTGAGAGTTAGGAAATAAATTGAGAGGGAATTAAAGGGTGGGGCTATGGTACCGGTGGCATGCATGGATGAGGGAGTTAATTAGTAGGAGCAATTAGAGATTCCTAATTTAGGTTTTTGATTTAGGAAGGAATTAATTTAAATCCTCTTGAATTTTAAATTCAAAATAGATTTAAATCAAATACTTTCCTAAAGTAGAATACTTAATTTAGGAAATAATTTGAATTCAAATTTGGATGAATTTGAATTTCAAAATAATCCCAATTAATCCCAACCCAATTAGGAAACAAAATAAAAGAGGCAAGGGGATGAGTGGGCCGGCGGTTATGGCCTTGGCTGGCGGCAAGGGGATTGGGGATACTTGGCCGTGGAGTTTGGAAGGGAAGGGGGATCGGGTGAGGTGGCCGGTGGTTTGTGGTGGTGGAGGGTGGGGAAGTCCGACGAGGGGACGATGACAAAGATAAAGAAGAAAACCACGAACCCGGCCGTCTCCAAGATTGGTGGATGATACACCAATCTCCCTCTCCAAGCGATCTCTCCAAAGCTCTCCAAGAACTCTCAAAGGCTCTCAAACACAAGTGCAGGAAAAATTCTTAATAATCATTCATTAACTCAAAACAAAGGAAATGAGGCTATAAATAGCCGGGTACAAAGACTCAAGAAAATAAAAGACCAACTTGCCCTTTGGGCTTACATGCGACCACTCCCATGAAAGGGGTACAAAGGGAAATAATAACGACACCTAAGCAAATAAGAAAATGCATAAATAAAATAAAATACAATCATGACTCAGAAATACAAGGACTCGATCGTGGCCGTAGATCGGCGGCCACGTCTCTGATAAACCTTCCACGCTAATCTGATGTCCCCATCATAGACTAAAAAGACTTGGTTAGTAGGTATTAGAAATGTCATTTGTTTACTAGATTTAAATGAGAATTTGACTCTTAATATGATACAATGGAGTAAAAAGATTCATGCAGCCGACCCCACATAGTGGGGTAAAGGCCTGATGTTTTTGTTGTTGTTGTTGTTGTTGTTGTTGTTATTATTGTTGTTGTATGATTTTTTTCTAGGCATATATTACATTACTCCCTCTTATAGCTTCATTGCATGACTCAAATGATTATTCTCTCATAACTATATTAATTCAAAATATGCAACTCATTTTAAAAAAAAGTACAAAAATGCTTCTTGAAAAATATGCATCCTCTCAGTTTTCATAGTTTTAATGAAAAGAATATCAAAGCAATCTTCTAATATCTGTCATAACCCTCCAAATCTCAATATGTAACTTATTTCTAGCCAATATGCATGTTCTCAAAAGTAACTTTACATTGTTTGATTAATCTAATATATTTGATAGTTCCTTTAATTTTGCTCACATGCAATCATATTCTTTTAAAAACTTTTAGAATTTTTAAATAACATTTTATATATTCCATTATCATTTTTATGAATGTCCATCTTTAAAATAAACATCCATATTTACTCAAAAAAAATCCAACCTTTTTATCATTTGTCTCTTAACTCATAAGTTTGAAATGGAATATTAAAAAATTTTGATAAAAAATGGGCACAAATGATAAACATAGTTCGAAGTATTGAAAACATATCCATTTGCTTTCTTGAAGAGACCAAACAATGAAAAAAATAAAAGAGGAATGTAACCAACTGAATCAAAACAACTTGTTTCCTCTCACAACGGGCATGGCAAGTGCAATTATAGTTACATAAAATTTGCCTATATAATAAGCCAAAAAATTAGGAAAAAATAAAATCAAAAACAGCAGCATGTCCAACATAATAAGCCAAAAAATAATGGCACAAGGATATTATGCACAATGGCGACCATCATCATTAGTTTAATCCAAACTATTTGGTTAACTATAAGAATCCTCCTCAATGCATTCAATTCATTGCTATCAATTGCTACATAAGGTTTTAACTTAGAACAAACTTTTAACAAGTTCTAATCATATTGCCTAGGTCTTACCCTCATTGCCTTCTAGATCATTCCATATCAAATCATCTTCTTGGTATGACTTTTACCCAAATCATCTAATTATATTTTCTACAATATATCTTCCATAACAACTACTACTACTAGCCTATCTAATATAATCATTCCAATATATCCTTCCTAACTTTATCAAATATCCATCTTAAAACTCTCCTTCTAATGTACTCAACTTGATTATCAACACACTCTTTATTTCCAACACACAGACCATGACATTGCTAGTACAATTATAGTTACATAAAATTTGCCTATAGATAATCCATGAAATCTCTTATCGCATAAAAATTCATACACATTTCATAATTTTAATCATTAAGATTTAACTTTAAAGTAACCTAATCGATACAAGATACTTAAACCTACTACAACTACATCATCCAAGATCTTTCAACAATATTGGCATATAATTATCAGTTTAATATCTCCTAAATTTACACATCAAATACTCGAATCATTTTCTATTGATTCTATGTGCGTATCTTCCAAACTTTCCAATTATTTTTCAACTTTTCAATTAGTTCAAAACATGTCTCATCTACCAACACTATATCATCTACAAATAGCATACGAAGCCTAAAAGAGAGTAGTAAAGCATATGTAGACAATTGGTGATAGCTAAGAGAACAAAGGACACCTGCAAGAAAATAAAATAAAACAAAAGAGGTAACACATGAGATATTGAAAGAAACCTCTTAAATTCAATATTATTTTAAATACGGTGAACAAGCTATTAGGCAGAACCTAGCGGAAGCGGTGGAGCTCCGTCCGGCCCAAACCAGTCGAACCCAGCAGCAGCATTGGGCGGAAACCAGAGAAACAAAGACGGAATTTTGGTCACTCTTGTAGGGCTCATGAAACATGTAATTCATTATGTAAGAAGGAGAAATCAATTGAGAGATATTTAAAAAGGTTTTAATCAAAATTGGGTCGGAATTATTTATGGGAAGAGTTCCAATTTGAGTTCAAATATGAGAGGGAATTATTTTAGGAAGGGAGGCTGATTTTGGGGGGAATTAGGGGGAGCTTATTTAGACCAAATTATGTTGCTATTTTGTTATGATGGAATTTGTCCTATTGTTGTTTTTTTTTTTTTTTTCTTTGTAAGTCTCTTAGTGGCATCTAGGGTTTGTGGGAGAGTCGATCAACCTCTCGAACAGTAGATCACTTGTGTCTTTTATTTCTATTGAAGAGATAATAAAAAATCAACCATTGTCTTTGTATTATAGCAATTTTCTTCCTATCTATTTGCTGTTCACAGAAACAAAATGGAGACAAAAATTTGGATGCATATTTGATTGAAAATAAGAACAAAAGACTACATGCACAAAATAATGACTGTACAAGAGAAGAAAAATAGATGCATACTCGTTATAATCTGCAAGATTTAAAGACATGTAATTTGATAATCCATATCTTTCCAACACCCTTTGAACAAAAGAATCAGGAGGAGCTAATGCAGCACAACATTGCAACAAAAACAGATCACATTCCAGTCCATGTTCCAACCTGTCAAGTAAAAAAAAATAATGATAATTAAAAAGTAAAAAAATGGACCACAGAAACCATGCAAGGGATCATTACACAAATGTATATGCCCATAAGATTTTAGTTGATTCACCATTGCACAGATCGATACCACTCAGAACTCAAAATGGGAGCATCACCGTTCTTTCTCCACATGCCAGCACGAACTTGTGCACAAAATACCCTCAGCCGAAGAGGATGCTCCATAATAAAGGCCGAAAAATCACAAGGATGTAACCCAGCCAAAGCATTCCTGAAGAAGTCTTGATTATGAATAGGAAAGGTAGTTGTTGTAGTGCCATTTGTCTTGTGTGGTAGTTCAATTACATGACAACAAGCTTCCAATGCTTTTCGCAACAATGCTGAAAGTAAACGATGCAAGGGGATGTGGAAAGATATTGCTTGTGAACCAACATCATAATTGATAGCAGGCCAATCATTCATTTTCAATATGCCAAATGTTGCCGACTCCCTACCATACTCTACCTCCATGAGAGTGTCATCTGAAAATCTGGTACTATAACTACGTTCAGGAAACAATTCATTGGTCTCACCAATGTACAATGAATCATTGCTATGGGAAACACCATCCCTTTCAGCTTCTAGCATACTGGCCCTCCCAAACCTCTCATTGCTATCACGGGTAACAGCAACCTCCTCTCCATCCATGTCCATCCTGGTCATAGAAGTTCTATTAACGATATTTGGTACTTTCTTGTTCCTAACCGATTTCTTTCTCAAAGCAAAATTAGACGCACTGGTGGTAGCTACACCACCAAAAGATGATAAATAGCTTAATGATTCAATTTCTGGTTTCAAACAACATTCAATGGCTTTCAGGCATTCAGAGATCAGCCATACAATAGAAGACGGAAAACACATACCATTTTCCCCATCAAAATCTGTTTCATTAAACTGTGAGAACTCCAACACACCAGTCCTGCTTGCAAAACTTTCTTGAGAAACCCTTCCCACTTTGGCATGGCGTTGCCTGTCAATATCAAGTGGACCTTGCTTGTCTAAACATCCATTTTTGTCAACATAAAAAGCACCTTCTACCAAAAGTGCATTAACATTCCCTAGACACTGCCCAAGAACAAAAGGCGCAATAAGATTTTCATTTTCCTCCTCTGTGTGAAGACCAGTTACTATCTTTTGTGCATCCATGCCCTGCACAAGTCTTAATAGAAAAATCCAGTTCTTTGAGATATCTGGCCTTTCACAAGCAACATATGCAGGAACCTCTTGGTGACTCATAACATAGCGAAAATCTTCAATCAAACGAATAGTTGCTTCATATATGTTGGCCCAATTACTAGCCTGTAAAAAAATTTATAGCATGAGACTTAACCACAGAATTCATGCTGAGTATGAATTAATAACGTCAGAATAAGTTTATGTCCATTTTTTAAACCAAGTAATGTTTGTATATCAGAACAAAATAACAAATTGGCAAGGAAAGCAACAAAGCAGACTGATGTGCATGACAAAAAGAGTAGTCAGCCAACCGACATGAACAAATATAAACATCAACTTCCTACCTGAAGATGACCATCTGCATCAGCACAAGAAAGGAAAAGGTCCTTCAAGCATCCTAGAAGAACAGACAGCAGATCTACCTCAGTTACAAGTCGCATAGTTAAAGTTGGTACTGTAAAAATTTGTACAGAGAAAGTTGCTAGCTTCAGATCTCTCTCCAGAAAGTCGCTAGAGTCTTTGATCATTTCTTTCACAATATAAGGGTAGTACTGTATGAAAATCTTTGCAAAATCATACTTGAAAAGAGGGTCCCCAAGAAGTTTTAAAAGCAACTCATGTAACCTCTTCACAACTTCCATATCCAAGAGCTTTTCTGCCTTTAAAAGAACATCAGGTAAACCGGAACATGTCATCAGTCTTCTAGAGATAAAACTGAGCAGACTTTCACTGCAATTACAGAAGTCTATCAACATTTGAATGATGGCTGAAGATAATCCATTTGCAGCTTTCTTGTATACATCACCATGATCAGCATCTTCCCCATGCTTGTATTCCACTGAAATAACCTTTTCCTTCCAGCAAAAAAGAAGATGATCCAGGACAGGACCAATAGAATTTGCTAACTCTTGTGGTAGGGGTCGAATCTGTTCAATACCTTTATGATCTGAACAGAAGCCCTCTTTTTTCCATGCAGTTTCATCGCCACAATCACAGCATCCACCACCAGTATACATAATGTTATAATCATGATCCTTGTGATTGCCATTCTGAAAACAAGGGACACAAATTGCACAAGTTGGGTCATGCTCGCATGTGCGGCAACGGTACGCCAAGTCTTTATGTCCCCAGACAGCTCCACATACCGCACGCTGGCCATCACCACTTTGTGCCAAGTTACTTAGGGATATTTGTGGATCACCATCAAACATCAACCATTGCAACCACAAAATGCTTTCCTCAAATAATTCCTTTATTGAAAATTCATCAGAAACTCCAGCATGTTCTGTGTTTGGCAACATCTGAGCCTCCATTAAATCCAAAATAGTTGGTAAGATGGACGATACAATTTCAGATATCATGCATTTGTTATCCCTGACAAAAGCAACCAGACCCAGCTGAAATTGTTGAAGATACACTTGTGGAATCCCATGCACTGCAAGCCTCTGAAAAGTAAGACAAGAAAAGTAACAGAGTTATTACTCAACCAGGATTGCCAGAGTTGCATTTCAGATAAGGTTAATGGTACAACAGCAGAAGCAAATCATAAAGATAAGAATAGTGAAAAAAAAAAAACTAAATTAGAAATCTACAAGAAATGGGTCTAACAACCATAGGCCCTACATAAGACTGTGTCCATTAATGCAAGGATCAACAAGTAACCAAGGGACAGCACCCTAGAATGATATTTCTTCAGCTTATGATCCCAAAGACAATGATTATTTTTCTTTAATCCAAGAATAAACTTAGTATGAGTCATGCAACTGGAATGATGTAGGAGTAATAAAGACAAGCCCATATGGTTGAGATAATGCACAATCATTCTCTATAAATTATGAATAAACAAGCATTAGCATTTCCCCAAAAAAACAGATTAGTAAGCTGAAATAGGATTAGTAAGGTGAAATAGAGGTCTTCATGTAAGCTCAAAACAGATAGTCTTCATTGCCGAGGAATCAAATTTTCTTAACCATATCACTAAAATTTAGCAGAAATGACAACCATAGTTCTGAATTTTTAAGGTGTAGATATTCAGAACAGCACGTGAACAGTTAAACTTTTAAGTAAAATGCCAAAGAATAGGATAATATACTATTGCACAAGAATAGCTATTCCGTGCTTATAACGAATACTTTGTTAACTTCTTTCTTACTATACTAAACTCAATTTTCAATAACAAAATTGAAAAAAAAAAAAAAGCATATGTTGGACGCAATTTCTCGTTAAGCGCATCATAGGAAATATATAGGAAGATATAGTAACAATCATTAATTCATAAAAAGTTATGTCAAGTTAAAATATACAATCCAAAAGGAAAGAACTATCAAATTTCAAGTGAATTATCATGATTACAAATATTTCACTCATGTGACTCACGGGCTTGGTTGTAGCACTTCTATCCTATTAGAATTAATCAGACAAAGATGCATATGATTCCAATCATATGGAAAGTGAATAATGAAATCCACAATGTAGATTTCCGTTTCAAAACAGTACAATGAATGGTTCATTTGCAGGATAAAATCATGGATAGAAACAATTGTACTTGAAAACCACACCATGATGAGGTACTCAACCAAACAACTTCCATGCGTATCTTGTCATCTAAAAAGCTAGACACATTGTCCATCCTACAGTTATATCCTACAATATTGCCTAACATACTTAAATCAAACTCCACGACCTCGATTACAGTTTTTTACAAAACAGAGAATTTATTAGGCACTTTAACCACCTACTTGATTTAAAATTCTTTTTTAAAGATTCCTCTCACATGTGTCAATTCTTAATATAGAAAGGAGAACTATTAAACCCCGTTATGTAGCCTGATTCTGGCTGGTAAATGGAAATTTGTCAGAGAGCAGTTGAGAGGACAAGCTCTGCCAAAATAATTTGGCATGGTGTAACATAAAAATAAAATGTTAATATTTCCGCAAGAAAGAAAAATAAATCAGAAAATACAATTCATTAAAAAAATTGTTTTTAAACCAGAATTGATGAACAAAAACGGCCGGGAAAAACTAAGATAAATGCTGGCTATATTTTGTATGAACTCCTGACATAAACCTCATACTCGAGTTCATTCGACAGGGGCAAGCAATGCTAGAGACAACAAAACTGAAGTGTTTAAATCCCAGCTCGTGCAGTTCAGCGATGCAGAGTGCTTTGGCAATCCAAAACGCACCCCTCTAGTTGCTTTGATTTAAAATCTAACAGGACAGAATTTTAGGAAACCCAATCGCTTTCGTAGACACGTAGCACTTCAGAATCTCCTCGTAACACAGCAGGGACCTCCTTTGATATTACAAACACACGGATAGCCAAAACTTATACATGCAAAAAAATCACAGGCGGCAAAGAGAGGAATCTAATGGCAATCCGAGATGCAAAGAATCCAATCAATAAAAAAGTGTTAAATGACGGGAACACTAAAGGCAGAAAGCAAGCTATCTAAACCATACCTGGACGATGCGATCTCGGGGTGGAAGCAAGTTATCCCGCTCCGGTGGTGAATCAATCCCCATGCCGGCCATGACACGAAGCCAATTCGCACAACTCCAGAAATTCAATCTAGAGCTTCCCCGCCCCAGGTTTACAGAAACTGGTAGATGTTGGAGGGGAAGCAGTAGTAGGGAAATGATAAACCCTTCCTGCACAACCACAGTCAGTAAGGGTTTGCTGATTCTGTAATCTAGGATAAACTCCGAGGTCGTCCGGATAGAACCACCCCTCCGCACTCTGTATTTGTTCAACCGGGATTTGGGGGCCGCAAGATCCGCAAAGATTTGCCAATCTCGAACCCTCTTTACAATCCGAAGCAGGAAGCACCATCCGCCTGCTACTGATCACGATAAATAAAGACAAGGATATAGAAACCTCCTGGTTTTGCGTAGAGAACCCTAGACTTAAAACATGTAATTAATGTTAATCGGCCCTCAATCATGGAATCTCCTTTTTCATTTAAAGTGATAATATATAATTCTTTTGTGAATACATGTATCTAATAATTAAATTTTTAATATTTATTTATATAATATTTTAAGATATTTATGATATAAAAAATGAACATATAAAGTATATTTTATTTAAGAAAATGAATACTAATAGAATTTTTTTATATTATTTAAATATTTGGATGGTATGTAAAATAATAATAAAATGTACATACATATATGTAAATATCTAAGAACTATTGAGTATTGAAACATTTGCATCTTAAGAGAGAGATAAAATTTAATGGTCTAACATTGTACCAAGGTTCAACACACAGATGAGAGAGTAGTGCAAGAGTTATAAGTGACATCAAGATTTATTACGTGAAAACTTCTAATAAAGGAGAAAAAATACGAAGCATTGCCCAATTTGAATGAATCCACTAGTATTTGTTGTTAATTATAAATGATGATCTTCCTAGTGGGAATAAATTGGCTCAATATAGCAAATATATATCATATTGAGTACTTTTACATGGTTGGGGCGGGAAGAATCCAATATCATGAGAGTTGTTCTCAAGAGAGTGTTGGCTAATTCATTTAGTTTGTAGGACTGTATTTAGGCGACAGATGTGTGAGGGACCTTAGTCGGTTAATTACGGAGGTCAGAAGGTCAGAAGGACAATAGTTGTGCGACAGTTGTAGGAGGGATCATCTTTAGGTGATTGAGGTCAGAGAGATCTTAGTTGATGGGCAATGAAGATTGAAGGATTATTGTTGGGTGGCCAAGGTCAGAGGATGACGAAGATTGGAGGGCTACAGAGGTCAGAGAGTGAGATAGAGATAAATGGAATCGTACATGATGGGTGACAAAAAGTCGGAGGTATGAAAAATCGCAATCGGTGGGCAACTGAGGTCGGAGGGATGAAAGTCGACGGGTGATAGGGGTTAGAGGGACCGTTGTCGAGTAATAGGTTGGAGAGCTATAATAGGCATGCGACAGAGGTTAGAGGGCAGTTATTGGGTGACCGAGATCCGAGAGACTATAGTCGGCAGGTGACGGAGGTCGAAGGGACCGTAGTCAAGCAGCATTGGTGGTCGGAGGGACCGTAGGGAGTATGAGGTATAACAACTTGAAATTTTAAAATGTGGAAACAATTTTCTATATGAACTACAACATAGCAGAGTTGTACCTTTGAGTGTCGAGGCGCTGGGGGTTTGGGGTGCAGTTGTGCTCGGAATGGCCTTTATAACGTTGAAGTCTTTGTTCTATAGTAATTCTAAATTATGCATGCAACGTTGATGTAATAACCCAAAAATGTGAAATAAATTTATTTAAAAAACATGAAAATTCTAAAGTAGAATGATTTAGCGCTAATTTGGTGAGCACTACAGTGCTAGGCCACTAATATATATATATATATAACCATATATATATATATATATATATATTTGTGTGTGTGAAATACATGAAAAAATATGGCTATAATTTGATGTTGCAATACAATAAGTACTGAAATAATTAATATAATTTATATGAACAAGAATGTGATATAGATACTGGTAAAATGAAGTACTGAATGATATCATATACACAATATGTTAACCCCATGTGATACCCTACCGATTCACGTGATTCATTGATTGTGAGTCAATAGAAGTTGAAGATTGATTGAGAGTTATAAGGAGTCGGGGCAACTAACTCATATAATTTAAGGAGAGTTATATGGAGTACACTGTTTGAGACTTATAAGGGGCAATGGAATGAGAGTCATAAGTGTAAGAGCAATATGTTTTTAAGATACTCTCAAGAAATATCGGATTACTAATATTATTATTGATTACTGATTCTTGATATGATTACTGATACTATACTACTACAGATATTGTGACAGACACTGATATTGTTGACTATCATTAACACTATTTATGGTTATTGATATTGATATTGTATGGTTTTCTGGCATTTATACTGATGATATGAATGATAATATAATGGACTGAGATATGATGTACTATAAACTAAGTGATTGTTACAGAAAACTGATATAGATAATGATACATAGTTTTTTCATATGATTTATAGCATTTTATTTTCCTTTTATATTGCATGATTTTAATTGTAAAATTTTGATTACTTTTAAGGCTCTGTGCTTATTACGTGGTTTTATATATTTTCAGAAAAGAGTAAGGATCGTACGATGTAAGGCTTTGATCAACATGCATAAGTTTCTTTCTACAATTATAGACAACTTGCAATCATATTTTTTTTCGTTGTTCATAAAAAATTGATAAGCTATAGTTAAATTGTTAAAATGAAAGGCAGATGTATTTCTTCCAATTTAGATCTTAGGATGTGATAGCTACGACATTGGGTCTCAGCATTGCGGTGCTAGGACATTAAAATCATTTTTATATAATATTTTCACTAAAGTATATTAGGTTAGTTATAAACTTTTAAGCGTTTAAGTTAGTTTCTATCCTATAACTTTTAAGCATTGAAGTGTGTTTTTGCTGGAATTGCTTTGAAGCTTTTGCTAAAGTATTAAGTTGTGAGTGTTGAAATTAATCTCATACATTTTGATTTGTTTTTTTATTTTATTTTCTTGGTATTGACATTAAGCTTTAATTTAGGTGAAATATCTACCCTTTTCTGATTTGTGGTTAATCTCTTTATTATCATCAATTTATCGTTTTATTTGACCCTTACAATCTTTTATCAATATTTACTCGTGGTATCAATATGCTGTGCATTTTAGAATGTTACGAAAAAAATTGGATTTTATCGTTCAATTTACCGCTATAAAGAGGTTAGTTGATCACAAATGAATGAATTACAGGCTTTTTTTTTATGTTCGTGGCTTTTCATGCTGTCTTTTGAAAAAATCATTACAACTTATTTTAATACTTAACTTTTATAATCATTAGTGTTTATTTGGTATGTTAAAGGGGAGTTGCTTTTGAATTAGGTTTTATTTGGGACGGCTTTCTCTCTGCTTCTTTAAACAACTTTATAGTAGAAAAATATTAATTTTGATATAAAAAACTGCTTTAAGAAGCAGTAAGAAAGCCGTCCCAAACAAAGCCTTAATCCATGTGCTTTTGCTTTTCTAAATGGGCGATTTTTTAAATAGAACTGAATTTAAATAAGCCAGTCAATTAGCTTATTCACGATTTTGCCATTCCACAGCCTAACGGCTACCACTCGAATGACTAGCCACGAAACAAAGCAAGAGGCGTGACATTTATGGCTTTATTAATATAAACTGCACGTGCATTATTGGTTAACCTAAAAATCACAACATTATTTTTATTTATTATAGCTAATTCTAATTATTTTGACAAATAAGATAGCTAGAAATAATTACATTCTCATCGAAATTAAGAATCTCTTTGACTAAGTTTAGATCTCATGAATGTTTATCAATCTAAGATTTTGTTTGGGATAGCTTTTTTATTACTTTTTAGAAAGCATCAAGAAAGTTGTCTCAAACAAAGCCGGAGTTTTTGAAAATTTATGATTAAAAATATTCAACTAGCCTTGATTAGTAGGAAAACATTCTCATAATAATAATAAAAAGAATTTTTTATTTTAAATGAATATTCAAAATCTTACAACATGATTATTAAATGTTAAAATATTTATGGTAGTAAAGAGAAAGAGTTTAATATTATAATTTTACATGAACATCAACACATGCATAGACAAAATAAAGTCATAAGAGACCAAATTTATTATTTCAACAATATGTATTGGTGTTATTGGCAATAACAAGCGTTAGTGTAGTTGACGATGCCAAGCGCCAAAGTTGACAAGTGCCATTGTTTGTGCTGACTGCATGGACTGATCTTACTAATGAGAATAAGTAAATTATATGTGAAAATATGGTTACTGGATGTAATCCACTGCTCCACTACTTTCTGTATTAGCATGTGCCTACACTCTTTACAGGCTACTCTCTCATCAGGACCGTTGGTGATTAACGGTCTAATCCTAACTCTCCATGTCACTTTCTACTTTTCACTACTCTTGAGTATATGTATGGCATGCTACAGTAAATGGAAGAAATGGAAGAATTACAGAGGAATTTTCATTCTTAGTTCCTGTACTAGCTTTCTTCCTCTTGGTTGTTTTTCTTTGCTTTCTGTTTTCTACAGGTATCAAGAGACAGAGCTTCTACATGGTATCAGAGGATTTTTTCTGCCTTACGGCTTGATCGATATTGCCTGTTTCTTTTATGACGTCCTCGGTGTCATCTTCTACCTCGCTTCCAGCTTCCTCTTCTGTGGTAAAAATGGCTGACATTACCATACCATCCCAACTGAAGTTTCTCATGACAAACGTGAAGTATATTCTCAATCTTCAGCTCACTATCGATAACTTTCCTCTATGGAAATCTCAGATTAAAAAACTCTTCACGGCAAATGGATTTGATGGCTACTTAGATGGATCTATTCCAAAACCTGCGAAGCTTATTTCTTCATCTTCCGGTGAGCTTCAAGCAAATTCGGAATACTCTACTTGGATTTTAGTAGATCAGAATCTTGCTGTTGTTCTCTACTCCACAATCTCCGCCACATTTCTTACCTATGTTTTGAATATGGACTCATGTTCGGACATTTGGCAGACCATTGAGCGCAGGTTGCAATCTACAAATCGTTCGAGGATTTTACAGCTTAAGAACGAGCTGCATCACGTTACGATGAAGGATAAATCGATGATGCAGTATTTATCCGAAATCAAAAGTAAAGTAGATGCCATTGGTTCTTTCGGTTTTCCATTACCAACAGAAGATATTATCATGTATACACTAAATGGCCTACCAAATACTTACCAGGCATTCAAAACTGCCATCAGGACAAATTTGAATCCCATAAGTCTCGATGATTTTTATTCACTATTGTGTAGTGAAGAATTGAATCTTGCTGCTGATTCAATTCATGATTTATCACTTGCTTCCACACAAGACTCCATTCCGGCTTTGTATGCTCAAAGAGGTCGTGGACGTGGTCGTTCATCTCGTGGACGATTTATACCTCGCGGACGTGGTCGCAACTCATCCCAGCGTTCTCAAACAGTGTTGTCTCCGCCAATCGAGTGCTAGATTTGTCGAAAGATTGGTCACTCTGCATTTAAAGGCTGGTATCGAGGCGATTTCTCGTTTCAACCTCAAGTTCAAGCGTATGCAATAGATACTGTATCTGCTTCTTCTGATTGGCTGCTTTACACTGGTGCGACTTCGCACCTCACCAGCGACTCGTCCCAACTGCAACAGGCTCCACCATACACTGGCAATCAAGAAGTTCTGATCAGCAATGGTGATCTTCTCCCAATTACTCATACTGGTAAAGGCTTGTTACCTACTCCTACGCGTAAGCCCATCTAAATTCATTGCATCTTGTTCCAAAACTTCGCCATAATCTCCTTTCTATTAATAAACTCACAACTGACAACTCCTGTTCTATTCTCTTTGATGCTCATGGTTACACTATAAAGGATCCGAAGAACAATCATATTCTCCTTCTCGGCCCCTCTCGTCGAGGTCTGTACCCAATAACTATTAAGTCCGCTGTTCCTTCTGCTCAGCTGGCTCTTGTTGCAAGCTCGTCATCCACCACACTGTGGCACCGTCGCTTAGGACATCCATCTTCAAAAGTTTTACTCAACTACAAAAGTTTATTTCACCGTCTCTATCTACTGTCTCTTCTTCTCTAAATTGTAAAGCTTGTGATATTTCAAAAAGTCACAAGCTCCCTTTCTATCCGTCTCTTTCTCGTTCTACTTCTCCTCTTCAGTTAATACATAATGATGTATGGGGACCTTCTCAAAAATTATCTTTACAAGGTTTCAAATATTATGTTATTTTCATTGATGATTTCTCTCGTTTTAGCTGGTTATATCCGTTAAAAGCAAAATTTGATGTTGCCGTTACATTTCATAATTTTAAAATTCTTGTTGCAAATCAGTTTGATGCCAAAATAAAATGTTTATGCTCTGATGGTGGCAAGGAATATAACTCCAAACAATTTCAGTTATTTCTTCACCAATCTGGCATCATTCATCAACAAACGTGTCCTCATACTCCCGAGCAAAATGTGATAGCTGAAAGAAAACATAGGCATACCACAGAGACGGCTAGAGCTCTCCTGTTTGAAGCAAAATTACCCACAATTTTTTGGGTCCATGCTGTCCAAACTGCAATTTTCCTAATAAACTGTCTACCTTCTATCTCTAGAAAAACCACTTCTCCTTTCAACTACTTTACCGAAAATTACCAGAATATAACACCTTCAAGACATTTGGATGTCTTTGTTATCCATTTCTTCCGTCTTAAATCCATTCCAAATTCCATCCAAAATCTCTACCTTGCATTTTCATTGGTTATCCTCTTAATACAAAAGGATATATATGTTATCATAGTGAATCTGGCAGAATTTTTGTATCACGGCATGTGAAATTTGTAGAATATGTTTTTCCTTTCATATCGTCTACAGCTTCCTCCACATCCCCTATTCAGCCAATCTATACTCCTCCTTTATTATTAGTACCAACTACATTTCAATCACCTCAGTCTTTACAATCTACTTCACCTAATTTTGCTCAACAAAATGTTCTTCCTGCATCACAAAGTTCTGCTATTTCCTCTCCATCCAATTCCAATACTCATTCTATATTTGATGATGCCCCACAACCAATTTCTCAGCTGATCTCCCAAACCACAAAACATCCTATGCTTACTCGTCTGCGTACAGGTAACTTAAAGCCACGTCACATTATCAATATGACTAATTGTCTTATCTCACCTGATCCAACCTGCTTTACACAAGCTGTTAAAGAGGCGTCTTGGCGTCGTGCAATGTCCACAGAATTTGCCGCCCTTCAAAAATAGGGAACCTGGCGGTTAGTTCCTCCGAATCCTCTACAAAATGTTATTGGTTCCAAGTGGATCTATAAAACAAAATTTCATTAGGATGGTTCGGTGGCACGTCTTTGAGCTCGGTTGGTTGCTCAAGGGTGTCATCAACACTATGGTATTGATTATTTGGATACCTTTAGTCCTGTTGCAAAGCTTCCCACCATCCGAATTCTACTCACACTAGTTGTTACATTCAAATGGATTGTATCCCAACTCGATGTCTCCAATGCATTCTTAAATGGTTCACTCAGTGATACAATGTATATGGCTCAACCACCTAGATTTAAAGATCCTCTTTATCCAGACCATGTGTGTCTTCTCCAAAAATCTATCTATCTATGGTTTAAAAGAGTCACCCCGTAAATGGTTTGAGACCTTTTCTCAATACTTGCTATCATACGGATTCAAACACAATTCTGCAGACCCTTCACTCTTAATCTATCAGAAGCATGCAGCTACTATCTACATTTTAGTTTATGTAGATGATATTCTTCTAACTGGAAGTGATTCATCCATCATTCAGCATCTCATTTCAGCCTAAGCTGCTCAGTTTGAAATGAAAAACCTGGGTAATATTTCATATTTTCTGGGAATGCAAGTTCAACATTTTAATACTGGTCTGCACGTATCACAATCAAAGTATGCTTATGAAATACTTAATCGGGCTGGTATGATTGACTGCAAACCATTAGCATCTCCTGCTTCGAACAAATTCCCAGTTGCTGCTGATTCAGTTTTATCACCTGATCAAGCTACTCTGTTTCGACATCTAGTTGGCTCACTACAGTACTTAATAATTACAAGACCTGATATTGTTTTCACAGTGAATAAACTATGTCAACACATGCATCAGCCGCTTGAGACTGATTTCAAACTACTCAAGAGACTTCTCATATATGTTAAAGGCACAATTCAGCTGGGATTATCGATTATTCCTGGTCCACTTCAACTTTCTGCCTTTTCTGACTCTGACTGGGCAGGAGATCCACGTGATCGAAAGTCGACTACGGGCTATTGTTCTTTCTTAGGGAATACTTTGATTTCGTGGCAAGTGAAGAAGCAGAAGACTGTTGCTAGATCCTCGATGGAGGCTGAGTATCGCGCTCTCGCTACAGCTGCCACTGATATTGTATGGCTGAGACGTCTCCTACACGAATTTCAAATTGACGTTAGCCAACCAACTACACTATTTTGTGACAGTATATCCGCAATCGCTCTTGCTCATAACCCAGTTTTTCACGCCGAACAAAACATATTGAGATTGATGTGCTTTTTGTTCGTGAATGCATTAAAGCAAAGATGCTTCAGGTCTCGCATATTCACACAGTTGATCAATTAGCAGATTTTTTCACCAAATCTCTGTCTATTCCTTGATTTGCTCTTCTCCGATCCAAGCTTACACTTACAGAACCTAACGTTAGCTTGCGGGGGGCTAATGAGAATAAGTAAATTATATGTGAAAATATGGTTACTGGATGTAATCCACTGCTCCACTACTTTCTGTATTAGCATGTGCCTACACTCTTTGCAGGCTACTCTCTCATCAGGACCGTTGGTGATTAACGGTCTAATCCTAGCTCTCCATGTCACTTTCTACTTTTCACTACTCTTGAGTATATGTATGGCATGCTACAGTAAATAGAAGACATGGAAGAATTACAGAGGAATTTTCATTCTCAGATCCTGTACTAGCTTTCTTCCTCTGGGTTGTTTTTCTTTGCTTTCTGTTTTCTACAGGTATCCAGAGACAGAGCTTCTACACTTACAAGCGATGACATACGTCAACATTGTTGACAATGATGGAAAACCAAGTCAGCGGGCTTTGAGGTTTGTGTCAACGACGTGCAACACCTGTATAAGTGACGACATGCACCAATATTGTTGGCGACAACAAGAAAGGAAGTTGGTGGGCGTCAACAATTGGGCCACAATAATTGGACAATAGTGATTGTGCGATATAAATCCATTAACGGCAATCAAGAGAAAGCAATCAAGCAATAGCAGTTGCTAGTGGTGTTGTCAACAACGAACTTAGGGCGGAGCTCGATACTTTTTCAGATATTGAAGCTATATCTAATTTTAAGTCAATATTCAAGGGTGGAGCTCGATACTTTCATTAAATATTAGAGTTATTTAATTTCTCTTATTAAGGCGCTTAATTTGACTTTATATATACATGATGTAAAAATCATTTGATCCTCTATTGAATTTTACAAAAAATTTCACTATAATTTAAGTGCTTAATTTAAGCTCATTTGAAATAAGATTGCCTCATTTATAATGTCATTTGAATTTTTATCACGAAGACATTCAATTTGATTATAAATTTATTGAAATCAAAGTTTAGATGATCGCGAATTTCCTAAAGGAAGTCTTAATGTAGTATTTCTATTCATTTTTAAATTAATTTGAGAACCCAAAATATCAAGGAAACTCATTGCATGACAGCTATTGAAGCCTCTTTAACATGAAAAATACAACAGACATATTTAAAATAGTTGTCTCATAATTTCTACAATATTACACTAAAAAAATGAAAATAACAGACATTAGAAGTTCTATAAGACAAAAAAGCACATTCTGAGCCATCCTTTATTCACATTCACCATATTTTAGAAAAAAAAGACAAAAAAAAGGAAGCAAAACAGTCAATTTCTGAAGTTAATCTGCAATGATATTTTATTCAATGTAGAAAAGCTACAAATCTGTTTAAGAGATTAAGACCAAATACCGTTTCCTCGCAATTGATTTTCACAGAGATATTTAATGGCTCAGAACATTTACCTTCAGCAACTATACTAATAAGGCATGGCTTTGAACTCCTCGATATTTCACTGCTGAAACGCAAACGCAACCCAGAAGCATCATCGTCGCTGAAAGAAACAGGCATATCAATGGAGACCAGGAAAACATTTGCGTGGCTAAGTACTTTTGATGCCAGGCTCCGAGACACTACAAGAATCTTGTCTGTCCCTAATGAACTCTGCTTCTGCTCCTCATGCTTCAGATCTTCGATATGGCCTTCAAACGAGCATCTGTTACAAAAAATATATATTTCAACACAGATTTTCCAATATTATGTTTATAAAAGCAACAGGAACATCTTCATTGGTATAGACCATGAAGAGGTGATGTTTAAGGTCACACATTAAGTGGATGAGAATTTTAGCATCATGAGGAAGCCACGGAAAACTTAGGTTTCGTTTGAGACTGCTTTCTTACTGCTTCTTAAAGCAGCTTTCTATACATTTTGTACTAGAAAGCTCTTTTAAGAAGCAGAAAGAAAGCCGTCCCAAACGAAACCTCAAATGACACACTTCGTGTCCTAACCTTAATTGAAACTGTAAGGGGGAGTTGACCTGACAAAAATGTAATTTTCAGTATATAATCAAGATGTGAGGGACTTCATTGAAGTTTATTGTAAATAGGGGAAGTTGCATGAATATGGTCTCCATGCAAAAGTTGGATGGAATCAGAAAATTGATAATAATCTACATGCTTAAAAAACCTCTCAATCTTGCAAGGGGTTTTGGATCCCTTTCAATTTGTTACCTATTCAGATTAATTCTTAACTGTTCTACATGTTCTTTAAGATTGATCTTGAACGCACAACTTTCATGTCACTATGGAAGTACTAATATATTTGTCAAGCATCAAAACAAAATGGCTATATGAAATCAATCCTACAAGAAGAAAAGCTTCAAAGAATTTGAATATAGAGCCAGAGGCACACTATCAAAATAGAAGAAATCTCTTCAAACTTCGTAGAGGTGCTAGTTTGAGCACAATAAATGTGTGGGCTCCTCAACTTTGCGCCCCAAACTCTCCTAGTTTAGAGTTGGGTTATGGGACAAACTTTTAAAAGGCAGATTAAATTGAAAATGAGACAACTCTGAGATTTTTCCTCTTATTTCATAAGCATTGTATGATATGATTCCAAGTTTCGCACAAGCCCAAGCATCTACGATTAATACTCCTTGTGATGATAAAGAATTTTTTAATGCTAGTCGTTAAATAAGTACCGAGTGAATAGTAATAGCAAATTAATTTAGAATTCGAAATTTACCACCTTATACTTAAAGCGAATGATAGAGAAAATGATAATGAACCCGATCAAGATCTCATGATTTCATTATCTCGGTTTAACATAGTCCTTGATTTACTTAGTCAGATGAGATAATCGAATGATCATTATCAATAGCCATGAGTTACTACATCTAAGAAAACCTTATAAACATAGGGTGAGCTTTTGTTTAAGCAAATTCAAGTCAATCTTAACTAATAAAGGGTTTTATGCTCCATCAAGTGCAGCCTATGATTCATTACTTAAGGGTTCTTAACTAGTGGATAATTTATGAGCTCTACCCATTATCGAAATTTAATAGTGTTATTTTATAATAAAATCACTTGATCAGAGGGCCCCAATCATAATTGTTTATCTATGACATCATTTGGCAGTGAAATCATTGGTTAGAGGATATATGCTACATCTTTACTAACGAGATATCATTTGAGAATGAATCATAGTGATACGTTTGATAAAACATTGGTTTTTCATGAGCTGATGTTATTCTCAAATTTATATGTTTTTTAACCGCCGTTGCAGATAGTGAATGAATTTTACTTCAAGTTATAAGATAATAGATCTCACTTGAACTATTTGAATTTTATGATATTTTTTGTAATTTATTTGAATTCGAGTTCAAAATAACCTGCATAAGGGTTTAAGGGCATTTTGAAAAGAGAGTATCCCCTGGTTTAGATTTGCTTCAAATACGGCCATCATCGAGTATTTGAAGCTATTATTTTGTTATTTAAATCAGAAAAATCCCAAAAAAAATCTCCAGACTATTCATGCATGACCAATTTAGTCTCAGAGTATCACATTGTCCTAATTTAGTCCACCAACTCTACAAAATTGATTCAAAGCAACCCCTCATGTTATAATTGCAATATAAAATTGATCCCAATTTAGTCTCTCGACTTCACAAAATTAATCCCAATTTAATCTCAGATAGACCATTTTGGATCAATTTTGTACAGTCGATAGACGAAGTTAGAGCAACGCTATACTCTGGGACTAAAATGATCATATACGAATAAACGAGAGACTATTTTAAAATTTAACCCTTATTTAAATCTTGTAAACTCTACTTTCCTGCTAACAGAGGATTATATTCAAGTACTAACTTCGTGAACGACTATACAAGCATTGAACTCAAGATCTTGCATTTTATAATGAATTCCCCTTATACAAGAAATTGTAGGGCTTATGTGAAACTAAAACCAAATATCTACACATATTTTATGAGATTACGTTCATTTGTGAGAATATGTTTTATATTAAATTGTTTGAAACTTGTTGTTTGGGCATCATTTGTTAAATTCAAGTTTTGTAAACTTCATTCCTTACAAGACAAAGGGTAGGACCTGAAGTGACAAAATTAAGACCTCGCCCAACAAGCAAATCGACAAGCTTGAGAAATATTATGTAAAAATAAATTTGATTATTAGATTTTTAGAGACTATGAATTTCAAGATAGTTATTCATTATTTCAAGAAGGGTTGTACGATACTCAAAGCAGATTGACTTTTATTTTTTAACTTATTTCAGTCAATGTAGTAATCTCACTCATCAGTTGACTAGTTTGAGTTTGAAAAAGAGATTTATGAAATTTCAAAATGATTGCTCGCATCTTAAAAAGACTACATGCCTTTCAGAGCGAGAGAATTTTGAGTTTTGTTTATTTTAAACCGCACAACATTCTCGGGCCTAGAATTTAAGAATTCAATGCATTAATCAAAGCATATACGGGTAAATTGATTTCAATGGTTCGTTTACCTGCATATGCTTTTTTATGGATTTGTACGACATATTTGCATGCTTCGTGATGTACCCATGCAACATGCTTGCATATTTGAATGATCTTTGAAGCACTTACACAAAGTGCTAGCCCTTTCACTAGTGCATATCATCGATTAAAAAGGCGTTCGAGGCGGACGCCTCGAAGCGCGCCTCGAATCGAGGCGGAGGTCGGGCGAACTGAGGCTTAAGCCTCGAACGTCCGGGCGAGGCTTACGCCTTTTTCCACGGAGGCGTACGCCTCAATACGTGAGGCGCCGAGGCGCATCGAGGCAGCACCTCGAAAGGGAGAAAGTTACCTTCAAAGCCAGCGAGCCAACGAGCTCCCGTTGTTTCTTCTTATCAAAATGTCGTAACTTATGATCCGACACGAAGGGAAAGTCGTCGAAGGAGCGCAGTCGAACAGTCACAAAGGAGCTAAAGAAGCGACGCGTGTAATCTCTACACCTCCTATGAAGCAACGAAGCCGAACAACAAGGACGAAAAGAGAAGATGAAAGGCAAACCCTAGATGCAGCTTAGTTATTATTGATTAACTTAATTAATATAATTTAAATATTAATAATTAATCAAATTAATTAAGTACTTAATAGTATAATTAGTGCATAAATTAATTGACTAATTAGTAATATAATTAGCCTAGTTAATATAAATTAAAATATATAATTAATAGTATTAATAATAATTATTGAGTAGCTTGTATCGCTCAGTACATGCTTGGTACCGAGCCAGTACTGCTCGGTACTGAGCAAGTATATGCTCGGTACTGAGCAGTACATGCTCGGACAGCTCGGTACCACTTGGTACACGCTCGGTACCAAGCCAGTACCACTAGGTACATGCTCGATATTGCTCAGTACATGCTCGGTACCGAGCCAGTACCGCTCAGTTCCGAGCGGTACATGCTCGGTACCGAGCGGTACATGCTCGCCTCGCTTAGTCAAAATGCCTCGATTCCCGATTTCGCCTTTTAAAACGTTGGTGCATATACACATTCTTCTTTTTATGTACTTGCATAGTGCATTGACACATTTTCACTATACTTACATTATACATTTAGTGGGCATACGAACAAGATTTTTTTGAGTAATTTGACACACCTTGCACACTTTATCAAAATAACCATGCAAACCATAATGTGTAACAGTGCATCACTTTGTTATATTCAGAAATTTTTGTTTCCGACGTGTATTGTTTGCTCATGGGATATGTATGAACTACATCTTTAGTAATTGTTTGTATGTTGCCTGAGGCACTGATACACTTATGATATGCAATCAGTTTGACCATTGCACTTTTTTAGTAACCAATCACGTTGTTGTAACTATTTGAGATGTGTAAGGATATAACGTGACTTTGCATTTAAAATTTAAAAATTCTTGCATTCCATTTGCTTGTGCGTATGTTGTTGATACGGTTGTGAGGATTATCTTTAAAATACATATATTATTTTATTTTAAAACATTAAAAAACCACTATCTACTTTTTGTCTACTTGTGCATCTAAGTTGTGAATCCTGTGGCAAAAAAAGAGAACCGAAATCTTACCACATTTTTCATGATGACCTTTCTTTTAAATTTATATTGTTGAATTTTAGTTATGTGAGCACCATAGGAAATCATTCTTCCATCTATAAATATAGCTTGTTTGCTCATTCTCATTCAAGCCATTAAACTCGAATTCACAAGGTTTGATTTGCACTCATCAGCGAGCTACTAAGTTCATTACGAATCTCCTTTAAACCCTGTGTGTTTAGTTCAACGTTACTCCTTTTTTGTAATTTTATTCTAACTTTATCAGTTTTGTGATTTCGAATTTAGCATACTATCATTTTAATTTTTAAATTTAGGTCAAAAAGTTATTTTTATTTGTTCTATTTAAGTCCTCCATTAGTGTAAATTTCAATAGCATTAAAATATCTTCAACGTGTATGAGGCGTCATCGGGAGGAACTTTTATTTGGTCCGGTCACCTAACGTAGCTCTACGTTCGGACGCCAGTAAATTAGTGTCACGTTTTCTCACTATTTACCGCGCGGCCCGACAACCCGACCCGGAACGGAGCCGAAATTGCTATGTTTGCATATTGCTAGGTATTACTCGGTATTCCTAGGTATTGGTCGATTTTGCTCGGCAATAACGAGAAATACCATTCTATGAAGACCAATACCGAGC